GAAGGTTGGCATGAGGTAACAGCGCCAGGCCGATTGTTCGACCCACCAGCACCTCGAATCTTGGACCCATGCCCCCACCCTCTTCCCCGTAGACTCCTGACACAAGTGAGCCTTGGTGCTTCCTCCGGAATTAAAGAAGTACTATCTTTTCAAAACGGGATTTCATTACTCCGCTAGCCGGTGTAGTGAAAACGACACTTTGCGGTGCTCCGCTACTCCGTGAGAGTCTTTTTATGTCCGAATGCTAACGAAGAGGCCCTTGTAGCTCGAAACTTTCGGCCCGGGGATGTATTCGTTACATGGATGTGCAACCGCAGACTGGGGAATAGAGTAATGCTTTGCAGGGTATGCGGGAAGGTAGAATGTGTTGTCGTGTGCTTGGGTACTATGTTTCTGTGACCTCAGAAATTGAAAGCGCCTCTCTCTATGAATGCATGCATGCACCGCAGGCAGCGCTGTGTATCAAAGCAGCAGGCGCCGCTTTTTTGTGAGGCTCGGGCTCGGTGATCTGCGAATGTCATATGCGAATGTGCTGCAGTGCCGCAGTGCCGTATTTGACTCAAACGTCTTGTTTCTGCCGTCAGGCCTGCCAAAGCTTCGTCAGGTGCTCAGCATGAAGCGTGAGAAAGCTGTGCTATGCAATTTTTGCTTTGCTAAGGTTCAAAGAGCCCAAAGAGCCCACCGCCAAGGCCTGGCCAAGATGTCGTGTCAGCGTTCTGGACAGTGTCAGGTCAGTGTCAGTGTTATGAAGGGTTCTGGCCCTCAGGCTGAGAAGGCGATGGAAAAGTGTGAACGAAAGGCCTGGGACAGCACTGCTGTTGTCATCACCGTGAAAATCTCTGAAGTTTTCACTTCCTGCGCAGATGCGGAAGCGAGCCGCAAAGGCCACGGACATGGGCTGACAGGGAGTCGACTGGGTGTCTGTGTGAGCCTGATGAATATGCCAACTTTCAACCACCCCAAAACCCCGAATTGCAAGTCATCAAGCCCCAAACCCCTGATATATTCAAGCCCAAGGCGAACTGCTTGGCTACTTTGGGGAACGACCTGTTCGTGTGCTCTTGAAATCTACCACAAAGGCTCTGACGTGCAGGTGCAACTCCAGCTAACCGCAACTCTTCAAAGTACAAAGTTCGCTCGACCGCGGCTCTTTTGCTGCTAGGCGGTCAAATTCTTGAGCCACGGTTCGTGGCAAAGCTCATGCTCATCATGTAGCAGGAAAAGTGCTCTTATCTTCACACGCCTCCTTGAATTGAAAGTTTCTACACAAGGAAAATTCCATTCACATCAAACTAACAACAACGTCTCCTTCTTCCTTTTCCAAACGCGGAAGGCACTTGATAAAAGTCGTTGTGGCTACCGAGACCAAAGTCTCCTTCTTCCTGTTCAAAAGTGGCAGGCGCTTGATAAAAGTCGTCGTGACATGCGTCGTGTGAGACAAGCACATCATCTGCAGAAAAGTTGTCACACTGAACGGTGATCGTACCTTGTCAGCATCGCCATCGGAAAGTTTCAAGCGATGCACAAAAGTACTGGTCCACGGGGTGATGTACGAGCACCATCAATTGCAAGGTCACTTTATCCGAAGGGTTTCTTCCATCGAGCTGCAGGGTGACATCCGCAGGAAGGGCAAAGAAGAAGTCGAAAAACCTGCCGTTCCAGCATCGCAAAGTGTCAACGAAAAATCCCCACTTGTCCATTGACAAGCGTATGCCCAAAGTTGTAACTCCAGGCTCCATCTGATGGAAAGAAACACCACAAAGCTCCAGAATCGAAAGCCGAAAGGTGTAAAGCAAAAGTGCTGAGCGAGGGCTAGAGCCCCGACGCGATAATGGCGAGTTCACGGCAGGTTGCAAAGCCGAAGACAGCAGCAGAGGAGAAGGCCCGAGTCTTCAAGCCACAGCGCCAATCCGAGACCTCTACATCGAATGGCATGCTGCTTATGTTTCCTGACAGGAGACTTCTCCGCCAGAGCCTCCTGCAGAGAAGAAGGTTGTGCATGGTTGTGCACAGCTGGGAGCTGCTCCAACGAGTAGTGCTCGGCAGGCTCCGAACCCGATTCCAGCAAAGGAGGAGAAGGCCTGAGCCTTCGTATCTCCGAGACCTCGACATCGAATGGCATTCTTTCTGTTTCATCCTGTTTGCATCTTTCTGACAGGAGACTTCTCCGGCAGAGCCTGCTGTTGAAGAGAAGCAGGCTGGACACAGTAGCTTCTTTGCAGAGCCGAACTCTAACTTCGCTATATACCCCGCATTCGTCTCGATCGCAACTCCTTGCTCGGATGTGGCTTTGAAACCTCGATTCAAGAAACCAGTTCTGATGTCGTAAATTTAAGCGGCCAAGAGCCTTGTAGTCAAATGATACGCAGTCGCGTTGCGTCTCACACCCACGCGCACACCATGTACATAAGCGCCCGTAGTTCACATCTTGGTGTGTGACTGTATGAGTGCTTCGGAATCAGCGTATCCAGCTTTGAGGAGCGCTTCCGCAAGCAGCTCGGGAGGTGAACGGTTCCCTGCTTCACTTCATGCACTTCTTCATGCTCACCCAGCCACACCTTTCCCACGTCAAAGGATGGTTCGAGAGCATGATCTGTCATCGTGAGATCAATCTTCTCGACGTAGCCCGGGATCGCCTCGCCCGCACTTCTTGTCCCCCCCAGTCCAGAAACCGTGAGTGATCCGTGACCCCTGCGGCAGAGAACACAGAGCAGGGTGAATCGCAGAAACATTTGACCACTGGCCTCAGGCGACGTGACCTTAGCAGAGCACCCAAAACTGGTTGAGATTCCTGGGGGCAGGGGCTTCAGAGCTGGGAAGATAGGTCACCGGTTGGAAAGGCGCTTTGCTCTCGGGGATTCGGGGAGCGGCTGGCTCCAACGACGCATGCTCGGCAGGCTCCGAACCCGATTCCAGCAAAGGAGGAGAAGGCCTGAGTCTTCGTATCTCCGAGACCTCGACATCGAATGGCATTCTTTCTGTTTCATCCTGTTTGCATCTTTCTGACAGGAGACTTCTCCGGCAGAGCCTGCTGTTGAAGAGAAGCAGGCTGGACACAGTAGCTTCTTTGCAGAGCCGAACTCTAATTCCAGCGCTTCACTTCTACCAACTTCGCTATATACCCCGCATTCGTCTCGATCGCAACTCCTTGCTCGGATGTGGCTTTGAAACCTCGATTCAAGAAACCAGTTCTGATGTCGTAAATTTAAGCGGCCAAGAGCCTTGTAGTCAAATGATACGCAGTCGCGTTGTGTCTCACACCCACGCGCACACCATGTACATAAGCGCCCGTAGTCCACATCTTGGTGTGTGACTGTATGAGTGCTTCAGAATCAGCGTATCCAGCTTTGAGGAGCGCTTCCGCAAGCAGCTCGGGAGGTGAACGGTTCCCTGCTTCACTTCATGCACTTCTTCATGCTCACCCAGCCACACCTTTCCCACGTCAAAGGATGGTTCGAGAGCATGATCTGTCATCGTGAGATCAATCTTCTCGACGTAGCCCGGGATCGCCTCGCCCGCACTTCTTGTCCCCCCCAGTCCAGAAACCGTGAGTGATCCGTGACCCCTGCGGCAGAGAACACAGAGCAGGGTGAATCGCAGAAACATTTGACCACTGGCCTCAGGCGACGTGACCTTAGCAGAGCACCCAAAACTGGTTGAGATTCCTGGGGGCAGGGGCTTCAGAGCTGGGAAGATAGGTCACCTTGGAAAGGCGCTTTGCTCTCGGGGATTCGGGGAGCGGCTGGCTCCAACGACGCATGCTCGGCAGGCTTCGAAGCCGATTCCAGCAAAGGAGGAGAAGGCCTGAGTCTTCGTATCTCCGAGACTCGACATCGAATGGCATTCTTTCTGTTTCATCCTTTTTGCATCTTTCTGACAGGAGACTTCTCCGGCAGAGCTTGCTGTTGAAGAGAAGCAGGCTGGACACAGTAGCTTCTTTGCAGAGCCGAACTCTAATTCCAGCGCTTCACTTCTACCAACTTCGCTATATACCCCGCATTCGTCTCGATCGCAACTCCTTGCTCGGATGTGGCTTTGAAACCTCGATTCAAGAAACCAGTTCTGATGTCGTAAATTTAAGCGGCCAAGAGCCTTGTAGTCAAATGATACGCAGTCGCGTTGTGTCTCACACCCACGCGCACACCATGTACATAAGCGCCCGTAGTCCACATCTTGGTGTGTGACTGTATGAGTGCTTCAGAATCAGCGTATCCAGCTTTGAGGAGCGCTTCCGCAAGCAGCTCGGGAGGTGAACGGTTCCCTGCTTCACTTCATGCACTTCTTCATGCTCACCCAGCCACAGCTTTCCCACGTCAAAGGATGGTTCGAGAGCATGATCTGTCATCGTGAGATCAATCTTCTCGACGTAGCCCGGGATCGCCTCGCCCGCACTTCTTGTCCCCCCCAGTCCAGAAACCGTGAGTGATCCGTGACCCCTGCGGCAGAGAACACAGAGCAGGGTGAATCGCAGAGACATTTGACCACTGGCCTCAGGCGACGTGACCTTAGCAGAGCACCCAAAACTGGTTGAGATTCCTGGGGGCAGGGGCTTCAGAGCTGGGAAGATAGGTCACCGGTTGGAAAGGCGCTTTGCTCTCGGGGATTCGGGGAGCGGCTGGCTCCAACGACGCATGCTCGGGGGGCTCCGAACCCGATTCCAGCAAAGGAGGAGAAGGCCTGAGTCTTCGTATCTCCGAGACCTCGACATCGAATGGCATTCTTTCTGTTTCATCCTGTTTGCATCTTTCTGACAGGAGACTTCTCCGGCAGAGCTTGCTGTTGAAGAGAAGCAGGCTGGACACAGTAGCTTCTTTGCAGAGCCGAACTCTAATTCCAGCGCTTCACTTCTACCAGCTTCGCTATATACCCCGCATTCGTCTCGATCGCAACTCCTTGCTCGGATGTGGCTTTGAAACCTCGATTCAAGAAACCAGTTCTGATGTCGTAAATTTAAGCGGCCAAGAGCCTTGTAGTCAAATGATACGCAGTCGCGTTGTGTCTCACACCCACGCGCACACCATGTACATAAGCGCCCGTAGTCCACATCTTGGTGTGTGACTGTATGAGTGCTTCGGAATCAGCGTATCCAGCTTTGAGGAGCGCTTCCGCAAGCAGCTCGGGAGGTGAACGGTTCCCTGCTTCACTTCATGCACTTCTTCATGCTCACCCAGCCACACCTTTCCCACGTCAAAGGATGGTTCGAGAGCATGATCTGTCATCGTGAGATCAATCTTCTCGACGTAGCCCGGGATCGCCTCGCCCGCACTTCTTGTCCCCCCCAGTCCAGAAACCGTGAGTGATCCGTGACCCCTGCGGCAGAGAACACAGAGCAGGGTGAATCGCAGAAACATTTGACCACTGGCCTCAGGCGACGTGACCTTAGCAGAGCACCCAAAACTGGTTGAGATTCCTGGGGGCAGGGGCTTCAGAGCTGGGAAGATAGGTCACCTTGGAAAGGCGCTTTGCTCTCGGGGATTCGGGGAGCGGCTGGCTCCAACGACGCATGCTCGGCAGGCTTCGAAGCCGATTCCAGCAAAGGAGGAGAAGGCCTGAGTCTTCGTATCTCCGAGACTCGACATCGAATGGCATTCTTTCTGTTTCATCCTTTTTGCATCTTTCTGACAGGAGACTTCTCCGGCAGAGCTTGCTGTTGAAGAGAAGCAGGCTGGACACAGTAGCTTCTTTGCAGAGCCGAACTCTAATTCCAGCGCTTCACTTCTACCAGCTTCGCTATATACCCCGCATTTGTCTCGATCGCAACTCCTTGCTCGGATGTGGCTTTGAAACCTCGATTCAAGAAACCAGTTCTGATGTCGTAAATTTAAGCGGCCAAGAGCCTTGTAGTCAAATGATACGCAGTCGCGTTGTGTCTCACACCCACGCGCACACCATGTACATAAGCGCCCGTAGTCCACATCTTGGTGTGTGACTGTATGAGTGCTTCGGAATCAGCGTATCCAGCTTTGAGGAGCGCTTCCGCAAGCAGCTCGGGAGGTGAACGGTTCCCTGCTTCACTTCATGCACTTCTTCATGCTCACCCAGCCACAGCTTTCCCACGTCAAAGGATGGTTCGAGAGCATGATCTGTCATCGTGAGATCAATCTTCTCGACGTAGCCCGGGATCGCCTCGCCCGCACTTCTTGTCCCCCCCAGTCCAGAAACCGTGAGTGATCCGTGACCCCTGCGGCAGAGAACACAGAGCAGGGTGAATCGCAGAGACATTTGACCACTGGCCTCAGGCGACGTGACCTTAGCAGAGCACCCAAAACTGGTTGAGATTCCTGGGGGCAGGGGCTTCAGAGCTGGGAAGATAGGTCACCGGTTGGAAAGGCGCTTTGCTCTCGGGGATTCGGGGAGCGGCTGGCTCCAACGACGCATGCTCGGCAGGCTTCGAAGCCGATTCCAGCACAGGAGGAGAAGGCCTGAGTCTTCGTATCTCCGAGACTCGACATCGAATGGCATTCTTTCTGTTTCATCCTTTTTGCATCTTTCTGACAGGAGACTTCTCCGGCAGAGCTTGCTGTTGAAGAGAAGCAGGCTGGACACAGTAGCTTCTTTGCAGAGCCGAACTCTAATTCCAGCGCTTCACTTCTACCAACTTCGCTATATACCCCGCATTCGTCTCGATCGCAACTCCTTGCTCGGATGTGGCTTTGAAACCTCGATTCAAGAAACCAGTTCTGATGTCGTAAATTTAAGCGGCCAAGAGCCTTGTAGTCAAATGATACGCAGTCGCGTTGTGTCTCACACCCACGCGCACACCATGTACATAAGCGCCCGTAGTCCACATCTTGGTGTGTGACTGTATGAGTGCTTCGGAATCAGCGTATCCAGCTTTGAGGAGCGCTTCCGCAAGCAGCTCGGGAGGTGAACGGTTCCCTGCTTCACTTCATGCACTTCTTCATGCTCACCCAGCCACACCTTTCCCACGTCAAAGGATGGTTCGAGAGCATGATCTGTCATCGTGAGATCAATCTTCTCGACGTAGCCCGGGATCGCCTCGCCCGCACTTCTTGTCCCCCCCAGTCCAGAAACCGTGAGTGATCCGTGACCCCTGCGGCAGAGAACACAGAGCAGGGTGAATCGCAGAAACATTTGACCACTGGCCTCAGGCGACGTGACCTTAGCAGAGCACCCAAAACTGGTTGAGATTCCTGGGGGCAGGGGCTTCAGAGCTGGGAAGATAGGTCACCGGTTGGAAAGGCGCTTTGCTCTCGGGGATTCGGGGAGCGGCTGGCTCCAACGACGCATGCTCGGCAGGCTTCGAAGCCGATTCCAGCAAAGGAGGAGAAGGCCTGAGTCTTCGTATCTCCGAGACCTCGACATCGAATGGCATTCTTTCTGTTTCATCCTTTTTGCATCTTTCTGACAGGAGACTTCTCCGGCAGAGCTTGCTGTTGAAGAGAAGCAGGCTGGACACAGTAGCTTCTTTGCAGAGCCGAACTCTAATTCCAGCGCTTCACTTCTACCAGCTTCGCTATATACCCCGCATTCGTCTCGATCGCAACTCCTTGCTCGGATGTGGCTTTGAAACCTCGATTCAAGAAACCAGTTCTGATGTCGTAAATTTAAGCGGCCAAGAGCCTTGTAGTCAAATGATACGCAGTCGCGTTGCGTCTCACACCCACGCGCACACCATGTACATAAGCGCCCGTAGTTCACATCTTGGTGTGTGACTGTATGAGTGCTTCGGAATCAGCGTATCCAGCTTTGAGGAGCGCTTCCGCAAGCAGCTCGGGAGGTGAACGGTTCCTTCCCTGCTTCACTTCATGCACTTCTTCATGCTCACCCAGCCACCGAGACCAAAGTCTCCTTCTTCCTGTTCAAAAGTGGCAGGCGCTTGATAAAAGTCGTCGTGACATGCGTCGTGTGAGACAAGCACATCATCTGCAGAAAAGTTGTCACACTGAACGGTGATCGTACCTTGTCAGCATCGCCATCGGAAAGTTTCAAGCGATGCACAAAAGTACTGGTCCACAGGGTGATGTATGAGCACCATCAATTGCAAGGTCACTTTATCCAAAGGGTTTCTTCCATCGAGCTGCAGGGTGATATCCGCAGGAAGGGCAAAGAAGAAGTCGAAAAACCTGCCGTTCCAGCATCGCAAAGTGTCAACGAAAAATCCCCACTTGTCCATTGACAAGCGTATGCCCAAAGTTGTAACTCCAGGCTCCATCTGATGGAAAGAAACACCAGAAAGCTCCAGAATCGAAAGCCGAAAGGTGTAAAGCAAAAGTGCTGAGCGAGGGCTAGAGCCCCGACGCGATAATGGCGAGTTCACGGCAGGTTGCAAAGCCGAAGACAGCAGCAGAGGAGAAGGCCCGAGTCTTCAAGCCACAGCGCCAATCCGAGACCTCTACATCGAATGGCATGCTGCTTATGTTTCCTGACAGGAGACTTCTCCGCCAGAGCCTCCTGCAGAGAAGAAGGTTGTGCATGGTTGTGCACAGCTGGGAGCTGCTCCAACGAGTAGTGCTCGGCAGGCTGCGAAGCCGATTCCAGCAGAAGAGGAGAAGGCCTGAGCCTTCGTATCTCCGAGACCTCTACATTCGCTGGGGCTTTCTCTTCGCCAGCTGTACAGAAGCAGGTTGTGCGCAGCTCGTGCTGGGTTTCGGGATTCGGGGACCAAGGCAGCATCCAGCGAGGAAGCGCCCGAGGTTTGGTTCAGTTTCATTTTCAGTGTGGCAGCCTCGGAAGGGTCAAATCAGCAACAGGTTTTGGGCCAATGCCCTGAGTATGTGCAGTGCGCCGTTTCTTTCCCTGAGGCGTTCTGCTCCTGCAGTTGTCTGGGTCGATGATTGCGGACGGTCTGATGTTTCAGCCGCTAGCAACAGCCAGGGACCCTTCGCCTTCACATGATGAACTGATGGAAGCATGTCTTCAGCTTGACAATCACCGCAACTTGAACTGAATGGGGGCTTGCTGGAGTACGCAGTGTCCAGCAACAAACCAGCTTTGTTACATCGGTTCATCAGTTTTCTGTCCGCGCGGGCATTGTTTCACAACGCTGCACAGGAACGCCGGTAGGTGCTTCGAGCCTGATGCTGGAAACAAAGTCGTGTGCAAGCGAGCAGTCTCTAGAAAGACGACCTGTCTGTCATCGGCGTTTCTGGAGTCGATCGGGCAATTGGGAGAACTTGCGATTTTTATGCTGACGCTCCCATTGCCTTACTACCTATGCAGACTTGGGCCCGCAGCGCTTGCGAGCCCGACCATGGATCGTCCTAGAGTGGACTCGATCTGGTACTTCACAGGAGGGAAGGTGCAACGCCACCTGTCTCAACGACAGATGCAACTAACACGTGAGGCCAAAAAGCCTCGAGGACCGTTCAAGCCTTTGCCGAGACTGGGTTGATGTCAGCTGACTGCTCTCTCCTGATCAGGAGTGGAAGTGCACAGTAAATCTCTGATGCCGCACTGCGCGTATCTTGTTGCCGCGTCAAGCACGTGGGGCCGGGTGTCCAGCGAGTTGTCAGACGGATTGGGCCTGGAAGGAAGAGCCTCGGTGGGTGGCCATGGCGGGGGGGGGGGGGGAGGGCGGCGGCGCTGATTTGAAGGGGTTAGGGTTTAGGGTTTACAGGTTTCCGGAGTCGAGTTTAGGGTTGAGGGTTGGTTTAGGGGAGCCCGTAGACCATGGGGGGGTAGCGGGGCAGAACGCACAGCGCGCAACCAAATATGCCCTAGTTGGGGGGTTTTGCCGAGCCGACGTGGGGATAGTTAAGCCAGCCCGCGCGCTCGACCTTCATCTCTGCCTCACTGTACCATCCCTCTTCGGTTTGCAAGACGTATTTTTCTTCCCGCTTTATGATGATGACAACCTTGTTGAGGAAGACGTCCTCAGATACAATCTCCTGTCGGGTCAAGGTCTTTGGGGTCTTTTGCTTTTTCACAGGGACCAAGGCATCCAGGCACAGCATCATCACTAGCACGAACAGGCGTAGCAAGGGTTGGGCTGCCATTGGGCTCCCTTCATGTTTCCTTTCTGGGCTCCTGGGTCGGATGGGTGGGTCGCGGCAACGGGGTTGGGCTCCCATTGAGTTCCTTCACGTTTCCCTTCTGGGCTCTGGGTCGGATGGGTGGGCCGCGGCAACGGGGTTGGGCTCCCATTGGGCTCCCTTCATGTTTCCTTTCTAGGCTGCGTCGGATGGGTGGGCCGCGGCAACGGGGTTGGGCTCCCATTGGGCTCCCTTCACGTTTCCTTTCTGGGCTCCTGGGTCGGATGGGCAGCGGCAACGGGGCTGGGCTCTCCTTCATGTTTCCTGGGTCTGATGGGTGGGCAGTGGCAACGGGGCTGGGCTCCCATTGGGCTCCCTTCATGTTTGTTTTCTGGGCTGCTGGGTCGGATGGGTGG